CGGGCGGGTTGGCCAAAATCGCCGGTTTCCATCCCGGGAGGCAGCGCCCCGCCCCGGGGTGAGACGGGCTTTGCCGGGCCCGGGCTGCCCTCGCCGCCCCGGTGGCACCAGAGGAAAGTCCGGGCACTAAGCAGCCGAAGGGTCATTTAAACTCACGAAACTGCCAAAAAGGGGGTCGTGCGCCACAGCCCCGCGGGGGCGGCAGGGTTGGCACCGAGCAAGCGGGATGCGCTTCGTCCCTGTGATCGCAAAATTCCACACTGGTATATGCGGGCTCGGGCTCTTCCGGGCTTTGAAATAACTGTAAAAGGCAAGAAAAATGGATTAAAAATTCCTGCACTGTCTTGAACCAATTAGCAAGAGCTATTTGGAGAACGCGCTTGAAAAGCAGCCCAAAGCATTAGAAAGAGCCCTTTGTGTGTAAACCAGGTGAGCATCCAGTACAGGGTAGCAGCCTGGACCTCTCCCTATTTATTTGTTCTTCAAAAAACATAAGACTCCTTCGAAGAAACCGCCCCCCTTATGGCCTGGCAGTTCGTACAGTTTGTCTTGTGACTATTGAGCTGGCTGCACCGAGCCGGGCGGCACAATGAGCTCTGGCCAGGGAGTACGGGGTAGGCAGCAGGCAGGTCAGCGCGGCCCCAGGGTTGAAAACCAGCTGCGTGGTGTCAGCTCCGCAGAGCACGGCGGCCCGTGGTCACGCAGGGACTCAAAGAAGTCACCACAAGTAGCCACCGCTGCCCGCTGCGTGCATAGAAAGGAAGATCCGCTGGATCAACTGGAAAACGCTGGAAGAAATCCTCTGCTGCTAACGAGGCGCTGATGGGTGGGAGTAATTGCTGCGGTTCTGCAAAGATGGGTCACGCTGATCCACCAGCCCGTTCCCACTGCGAGGCGGTCCCTCCGCCCCAGCGCTCCCTGCTCCCCTCCTGTTGGGTTTTGCTAAGGCAGCGGCAGCCCACCTCCAGCAAAGCCCTAACGGGTAAGGCAAACGATAGACCGAGCCCAGGAAGGAGCTGGTGAACTCCACAACCAGTACAAACCCTTTGGTGGCAAAGAATTCAATACTGAAGTGGCTGGGGCTGCCTGCCTGTGCCCTGGGAGAGGTCCAGCCAGATTGAAGAAACAACCGCCCTCTCATTTTTCACCCACGCCTCCTCTGAAAGCTGCACAGAGATCACTTATCCCGTGCTGACCTCTTGGGTTTTATCTGGCCACACTAACTGCAGCACAACAGACCAGACTGTCGTTATTTGTCCACCCCTGTTGCCACAGGCCCTTTCCACATCTTTCTCCCCAAACCTTTTTCCCATCATCCCAAATGTGCTTAGCTATGAACATCAGGGCTGCCAGGTCCATCTCTCCAAATGTAGGTACCAAGGGAAGAGTGCCGGAACAAGGCAAGCACTCTCATATAGCCTCCAACAATTTACGTCTCAGAGAATTCCTGAGCTAGAAAAGAGGTCTTGAGCAGCCCTCAGTGGATTTTTCTTCCGTTACTTGTTTAGTCACATTTTAAGCCTAAACCCGGCTAGTGCCAGTGAAAAGAAAATGCAGGCTACCATAAGGACAAGCATCGGCAATGCATTTTATCAAAGCTATTACTTGCATTTGCATCAAATCAAATCTGATTTTATTCTTGCACGTTTCCTTGAAGGCAGTTATGAAGCTCTTCATTTTCAGTTCATCAGGTTTGAGGAAGCCGGGTTGTTTTCTTCTTTGCAGCCTGGGAATTGTAGTCTTTGCGCTTAGGGCTGCCTTTCTTTGTGAACTACATTTCCCAGAAAACAACCTCTCCGGCAGGCCAGCCCTTTCCTGCCGCGGGCGGGCACGGCAGCGTTATGAAAGGTAAGGTTTCAGGCATTATTCACCGTATCACTCTTATTTCATTAGATGTGTTTGGTTTCGCTGTTACCCCCCCGCCCCGCGTCATTATTACAGCAAAAGAGACTCGGATGACGTGGGTGTCCTCTGGATTTCTGGCCCTGTAACCATTTGTAGAGACCCCTTCACCGCCTACCTTACTTGTCTGACCTCTGTCTGCGGCGCATCTTGGATGCGTGTTAAAAACAACCTCTAGCCTCGGGTCTCGATAGGTATGTTTAAAGAGTTCCACTTAGTATGTAGCTGTTATTTTTTAATCTGAGCACTGTCATTTTAAAAGCAGGTTTGCATTTCACAGGAAATATTCTGTCCTTTCTAAGTTTCTCTCCTACACTGTCCTACTTCTACGCTTCACAGTGGCTCTCAGATGTATCTGTTATTTTTAATGCTGGGCCCACCCACTGCCTCCTCTCTCTTGTGGGCCAACCCATATTATATATCCATTTCATTCCCCCTCAAAACATTTCCTTCCGAGAGATCTTTTGATGATAAGGGACAGGGATAGAGAATTTTCATCAGTTAAAGTAATTTAAATACTGTCAAACTGCCTTAATAGCCTTTGGGGAGCATCACGACAAAAGTTATTCTCGAAGCAAATTACAGTTTATTGGGAGACTTTGTCCCTTCTAATTAATTCATATGGAAAATTAAACCTCTTTGGAGGGAATGCCCAACACAACTCCTTGCTAAGAAACAAAACATGGCAAAAATCATTGTGAACAGAATCCACTGCCTAGATTTAAAAAATAATTCAGACTACAGAGGAAGTCCAGTCTTCCCTGTAATTCCGCTGATGATGACGCCTCAAGAACTGGAGACTGACCAAGAGAAATCTACACTGTGCCACTAGCATCAATTTAGTATCATGATACTTACAGCTGAACACCCAAACTTTAAATGTATTTAAATATTGCTCAATATCCTATAAGAACTGGCACTTGAGGGGGACCAGGCACTTGAGGCAAAGCAATTTAAGACACAGCAGGAGTCTAAAAACCATCCAGGCACTGAAGCATAGGTGATCAAAAGTGCTTAGGTGCCAGCCTTTTAGACAAGTAAGCTCACCACCTGAATACCTCTGACTTTCTCAGAGCTGCCACAGATCTCGCAGGCACTGCAAGTTTATGGAACTTTTATGAAGACATTTATGAAACTGCCCACATGCTTTAACCATTTGACAGCTAACAAGCTGCGCAGAGCCCTCCCTCAAACCACTGCCTGAGGCACCTGAAAGGGATCTGCTCCAGCCAGCTGAGGACTCCCAGTGAGACCCAGTCCCTTACACGTCCTCTCAGTAATTTGTGATGGTGAGGGCAGAAGTGTGAGTGGGCATGAATCTGCATCCAGGTGTCCCATGTTACCAAGCAAGCTTTAAGCACCAGACTATCTGGGGCCTGTTGTTGTCACTCTTTTGAGATCATCCCTTTTTATCAGCAATTAAAGTCCTTCCTCCATCTTCTAGAACCCATACAAGCCCCCTTGCAAAGGGAGGTGGTGGGAGAGCAAAATACCAGTCAGTCAATTCTTGGTACTGTTTCTTTCCAAGCTTACTGTACTTTGTATGCAAAATCATAGAGGCGCCCATAAAATACAGTTTTAAAATATTGAAATGGAGAAAGGAGAACTACAGACTGCTAGAAAGACAAAACGAAATCAAGGTCCAAACCAAACCACTCCTGTCAATGACAGGTCCTGCACACAATTCCAGGCTACTTGTCAGCAAAGCTGTCCTGCCTATGCCCAATGGGGCATGCCATTCCTCCCTTAAAGCAGGATATCCCTCCAGTTCCTACCTGCCAAGCAGATGTTTCTGCCCACCCCCCCTCCCCAATTTGGGTGATTCCTTCTCTCTCAGCAAAGCCCCCTGTTCTCGCTGGAGAAGCAAAGCAGTAGCCCTCCACCTCTCCACTGAAGCTGGGGAGGTGGCACCCACAAAGGAGGAGGTGCTAGAGGCATTTAGGCAGTGTCCTAATCATCTTCAGTCCTGTTTTAAGGCCTGTTCTGCACCAGGCCTTTATAAAAAAACCAAAACAAAACAGGAGTAACTCCAGTCAAGGTCTTTGTCCTGAAAGAGCAACATTTCGAGGTTGTTTTTCCTCTCGCTTCCCACAACACGTGCAACATGTTCCTCTGGGGAGGAACAAGACACACCAACCGAACAGTGCCTCTGGGTTGGGAAGCTTGGCCTCCCTGCTGTTTCTTCTCTGCCCTGTTGCACATACCTGGGAAAGACTCTGCGTGCTCAAGTCTCCCTGGGCTCTTTAGAAGTCCTCTTAGGCAGCCATCCTTCACACCAGGACAGGAGAGCAGGAATCCTGTGAGTCAGGTGTGCTAACTTTGTACCTTGAGCAGTCCTCAGTATTGCCCTCTGTGAAAGGGACATACGGACAGTGTCCTCACACAGTTAATGTTGCCAAAATAATTTGTGTTGCTTTACTAAAAATAAAAAAGAGCAAAGAATATTTATCAACATCACGTTCCAGAGAATCCCAAGAAAACTGAATTAAGGACATGTTCTTTGCTTTCTTTTACCTGCCATGTGTTCTGTTCTTGGTTTTTAGCTGACCATGTTCTCTGCCAGGAAGTTAACAGGAGTTTGCAGAGCCATCAGATCCCATCATTTCAGATCCCATTCTGTATCCAGGACCTCTCCAAACTTGGCTTTTGTGCCAGCCTGTCCTCCTCCAGATCCTGTGGAAGTAGAGGAGCTGCAGCGCTTTGTTTCCAGCTCCAAGAGGCTGTTTGTAATGACTGGAGCTGGAATCTCGACTGAATCGGGGATACCAGATTACCGCTCTGAAGGTGTCGGGCTCTACGCCAGGACGGACAGACGGCCCATCCAGCACGCTGAGTTTGTTCGTAGTGCTAGCGCCCGGCAGCGGTACTGGGCAAGGAACTTTGTGGGCTGGCCCCAGTTCTCCTCCCACCAGCCAAACACAGCACACCTGGTACTAAGAGACTGGGAGAAGGTGGGGAAGCTGCACTGGCTGGTGACCCAGAATGTGGATGCCCTTCACACCAAAGCCGGGAGCCAGCGCATGACAGAATTGCACGGCTGCACACACAGGTACTCTCTGTTGGCAGAGGGAGGATTGGTTCATCCTCCGGCCCCTCATTCAGGATGACTGACAAGCAGGTGCAGTGTTAGCTGCTGAGAAAGGAGCAAAATGTCAATGCTATGTTCCTGGAGATGACATGCACAAAGGTCTTGTTGGGCTGGGGTGGAGAAAAAGATCACAAAACACTGCTGTTCACAGCACAGTATTTAAGAAACATGAACACCACTTTTGAGCATTGTTTGGATCATTTCCCTTGGAGCCTGCATCAGTCAGAACTCCCCCTTTCCTTGCTACAGCAGATGTCCTCATAGTGAAGAGGACAAGGGGATCCTGAGGATGCAAGGATTATCGAGGGCTAAGCAAAGTGGACAGCGCCAGAAATGCACAGGGTGAGGGGACTGGAGAGGGACCACCACAGTCTGGCTGTGATCACCCAAAGTTTCCAGATGAAAAAGCACGGCCTGAACTGGGAGAGAGGATGCACGATATGGTTCAAAGTGCTTCCTCTGGAGCGTCCTGCAAAGCAGCAACTGGAGGTAGAAGGACAGCTCCTTGACCTGTGCTATTTTGGTAAATAAACGTGGATAATGACAACGGACCTTCCAGGCCTTCTAAGGAACAAGTTACAGACTCTAGATCTTTGGCTGACATGAAACTCTCCATTAAAACTTTGCTCTGAATTTCAGGGTTTTCTGCCTGGCCTGTGGAGACCAAATCTTGCGCTCAGAGCTTCAGAAGCACTTTGAAGCTCTGAATCCTACCTGGAAAGCTGAAGCTTTTGGTGTAGCTCCAGACGGGGATGTCTTCCTGACGGATGAGCAGGTGTGTAATTTCCAAATCCCAGCCTGCCGTAAATGTGGTGGAATCCTGAAGCCTGATGTGACGTTCTTTGGAGACACAGTGAGCCAGGAAAAAGTCAACTTTGTGCACCAGCGCCTGGCGGAATCAGACTCCATGCTGGTGGCAGGATCTTCTATGCAGGTAAGTAGGTCTTCCTCTCACACTGCATTCCTATTTCTGTGCTACTCCACCTGCAACAATCCTTGGTCCCACGATTTAGGACTACTAATTGGTCATGGATCAAAATGGCCTCTCCAGAGCATGTTTTTAGTGTGGTTAGAATCTGGCTTCACAGCTGGCCTGTTCCTGTTTGGGCTTCCCTGTCACTCTTATTGCCAGTCTACTTCACGCCACTCTAAATAACTCCGTTTACACATTCAGACCTGTCTCTGCTACCTCCTCCATCAGTACATTGTAGGTTCACAGTTGCCTATAAAGCCAAAATACCTGATACAATTCAGAGATCACCACCACACATTTTTTTGCTTGAATTTTTTAGCCTTTGGCAGCTTTCCAGGCCTCATGGCACACTATGTGAAATACCAGATTTTAGGACCTCTAATTCCTGATTAAATTCTGAAGAAGAAAGGAGAAATATCTCTGGTTACTGCTTAGGGTTGTCCTTTGCATGACAATGTGTTTTCCCCATTAGTCTCTTATCTACATGGTAAGTTAGTTTAGAAACCCCTGTTGTTTAACCCACGGAAGCTTTTGGAACAGAGTTTGTATAAGAGAAATTTTTTCAGGAACAAGTTCTATTATGCTAAAAAAAGCCTAATGCCTCCCAGAAAGAGATAAAACCAAGGCTGCCTGATTGTGATTCTCTTGGCTTTAGGATACTGGAGACACATTCCTCAAGCTTGCACCTCTTAAGCTTATAATCCTTTGTACAGGAATGATTGAAATGCCTTAGGTTCATTCTTGTATTACCTAAGCTGGGCCATGTGAGAACCATCAAAGTAGAAGCATTTAAGTACCTATGATAACTAATAAAAACTGCTGCAGTGATTTACTAAAAGACAAGAGCATTTCCTCTCAATGTACTACAAAGTTTCAGTTTCTATGGTACTGCAGATCCCTCACTGGCAGAGGTTAAAAGCCGTTCTTTTCTGTGCACTCCTGAATGAAGAAATTTCTTACCTGAATTAAGTGTAGTTGCCTAACACAGCCCTTTTTCCCACTGCCAACAGCAACTGTTTTACTTTCCTTACTCCTTTCTGTAGCTCTTCTTTTGCCTAAGCTGCCAGTAATTTTGTCTTCTGGTATTCCTGCAGGTATACTCTGGTTACAGGTTTGCCCTCGCTGCCCGGGAGAAGCAGCTGCCAATTGCGATCCTTAACATTGGGCCCACGAGGTTAGATCACTTTGCATCCTTAAAACTGAATTCCCGCTGTGGAGAGCTGCTGCCTTTGATTGTTGCACATGACCCAACAAGCTGAGCTTCAGTAGCTATCAGGAGTAAAATTATTTCTACAAGGTGAGCACCTTCCCTGGTCAGTCACCTTACAGGGTAAGAAAATGGGTTCCCACCAAATGCTGAAGCTGAGATGTGCTGACTGAAAGTAGGTTCCCACACTGTGCACCAAAACGTGGCTGTAAATTTTCATCTGTAACTGGCATACTGTTTAGGGCCATGATACTGTTTCCCATGATCATAAACAAAAAGCATACTAAGTGCTAACACTCCCAGAAAATTGGGCAAGAGTAGCCAGAAAACTCAGCAGTGTTGAGTTCCAATCCATTTGTCACAATCGGAAAACTACAGGGGATTTCTGCAGATTCAGAGAACCTGATCAGTGCTGTTTTCTTTGCAACTGACAATTCAAAAGCTGTGCCTGGTTCAATTGATCCAGCTAATCCTAATCAAAACATTGCTGTTTAAAATAATCAATTCCATCTATAAAGCAGCTTCTTCCCTCCGCTCCTGCAGGACTCATAATCTCAAAAGATGAAAACCTCAAAGAAGCAACTGAGATCCAATGTACATCCCTTGATGACACCAGGAGAGGGCAGCAAGCCTCGTACATGTCAACCTGACCGGTTTTCTCCATTGAAACCATCTCCACTTACCAGGAAACAGGATGATGATGAAAAAAAAACATTCTTCTGCCTTACCTTACCATTGTAAACAGTGCCTTTCCTTTTCATGCACTGTGACAGGATAATCAGAGTACCATATCTGAGAACAAAATACTTTTCTTATAACTGTCCCCAGAGAAGAACGAGGGACAGGGATTTTGACCGAGTGACTTGAGGCTATAGCACAAGAGGGCGATGTGGAAAACCACAGTATCTGCTGGAGGATCCAATACCATTAGCGGTCAACTGTGTGCAAAGAGGAAAAGGCTGCAAGAGGAACTGCAGTTGTCATTAAAAAAAAAGGCTCAAAATAGAAGCTGAACAAGAATACTGCTCTTGTAAGAGATTATTTGAAAGCACAGACTATAAGGCTAACGTCTTCTAGCAAGGAGAAGTCAGCATTTCTCTCAACTGTCAGTTGACAAGCTAAACTGCTTATATCTGAACCCTTTAAAAATGATGTATTGTTGAGATGCCAGAGAGTTACTTTAAGCTTATCTGACCAGCATTGCTTTCAGTGGGGCTGCTACATTTTCCAGAATGCAGTTTTTGAAGATGTTACTTAACTAATGAGTAGCTAAGTAGTGAATTAAAATTGTTTATGACTGATACTATTTGTATTGTGATTTCCTCTCTCTCCTATGATTTAAGTACAGTCTCAATAGCCAGTTTACATTTATTTTTTTCACTGCAAAAATGCAGGATGTAATTACTAACAGCTGATGAATTAAGAGAGAAATACAATTAAATCTGTACAATAGGTCTCCCTCAGAAGATAGTCTCAAGCTATTAATAGATGTAATTTTCCATGCTCCTAACAGGAGATCCGTCACTACTGGGTAACCGTTTTTTGTTGATCCTTAGGGTGGTAACGTAAGACACATTAAACCATTTATGGACTAAAAGACAGAATCTTGCCCAGACTATAACAGTAAATTTTTGACTCAACCTTATGCATGAATCTACCACTCCCCTTCTGGCTACGAGGGGGGTTAATTGTTGGGGTCTTCCAAATGCCCCAGTCCTACTCTCCACATAACATGTCCTGTATTAATATTTTGACAGGAACTGTAACAAGCAGTTGGAAGCAAGGATGCCAGAGTCATCTGCTACAAGGTCAAGTAGCAAAGCAAGGACAACCAACCATGTGATGCAAAGTTCTTTTTTGTTTTGTCGTTGATTCAAATCCATGCTAGGCAGGAGCAAGTAAAGCACAGAATCTAAGGGATACTTAGGCACCCAATTTCTGCAGAAGGTAGAGGGAATTAAGATACTTAACGTGTTTCAAGACTTGGCTATTATGGCTCAGAGGAGAGACGGCTTCACTTAGAAGCCAAGCGAGGTAAGTTCAGGAACCCCACCTGCATTCTGCATTTAATGCAGATCTCACTTTCCAGTGAGTTAGGTATCTGCTGTTCAGTAGTGAAGAAAGCTCACAGATACACTCCATCTTTAGCATAGTACAGCTGTCCTGCTAAGCTTTTGCACGAGTAATTGCTAAGGCATAGCAGTCTCCACACGCAGCCAGGGAGCTTGCACAGTGTTTATTTGCATAGGTTTTTCTATAGGTTTTACCCTGCTCCTACTGACAAACATGCTTATTTATGCTTTCTGGAAAAGGACCAAAGACCCTGGGCATGGTGAACTTGGGAGGTTCAGGAACCTTGGAGTGAAGGCAACTAAATCTACTTTCTCGAGCGTGCTTCTTTCCCTGTGACTGCATGTCATCACTTGGATGTCGCCCTTTTCCAGTCTTTGCAGCTGTGAGGAGATAAAAAAACAAACAAACAAACAAACCCAAAGTATTTCAAACCAGTGCCAACTTACTAGTTTCCTCAATCTATTCATTCAAAACCTGGGGCTTGGGCAGGACAGACAGAGTCTTCCTCTCACATAACCCGTCCTAGGGCAGCCCCAGGTAAAGAGCAACTGAAAGCAACAGTCTTAGGAAGCTGTCTAGAGTCAATGGAAAAGGAATAAGGGCTGTCTCAGCCAAATGTCTGAAGTCAGAGTTTCTTATCACTACACCCAGCCATTCTCTATGGTGTCTCAGTGCAGGGTTTTTGAGATCTGAATTAAGTTGGCCTTGGCAATTGTGGTTTTTAGATTACAGAAAATATAATAGTGTCAGGAGAGTAGATTTATGAGCGAGGACTTTGCCTCTCCAGTCCTACTGGTCTGGCCATTTTCATCACTGATAGATACTGTGAAAATATCTTTCAGATGCCAGATTCCTCCTGGCTGATGCTTTCTTTCTGTAGAGACAGGAAATTCTAGTACATGGGCTGTTTAACAGCTTCAGTTTGTTTGATTGGAGCCTTAAAAAAAAAAGAGGTGGATGATGCATTTGGAATAACACCACAAAGGAGCCCATTAATTCCTCTCCTCCTATCTTCTGCGTTCTGTGAGCTTTTCTAACTGCAAGAGTCCCCAACAGGGGCTGCGCAGCTGAGTGCTCTGTTACCTATGCACCCAAGTCCTGACAGATACAAGAAATCGTATGCAGGGGACACAGATGGACAATCAGAAATTCATACCCACTCACCCTGACAGGACAATTAGGCAAGCAGGTAACAATTATTAAAGCTAAAAATAAGGGGGGGGGGCGGAAAGCATTTTGTGACAGGGGGCTTCACGATATAGAGTGGTGACTTTTACACACTACAGGCAAGTGGTTTTGAGTGAATGACCTAAGTGCTGTTTGCCCTTGCCAAGACCCAGCCAACATATGCAGCTTCAGCATATGCAAATCAGAAATGGTGCCGTTTTGCTAATAAAAGAGGATTTCTGGGACATTCTACTATTCCTTTATCAGAAAACTCCTGCAAAAAAAGAAATGTGTAGATAAAGATTTAGACACATACTGCACCCAGATTTGAAGCATGATCCCACATCTTCACGCTGATAAGGGCCAAGGGGAAAAAAAAACCAACTGGACTCAGTACTACTAAAGACAACATTTGCAACAACCCAATCTGTGCCCCAGAGTTCGTAGTCTGACACAAATAGCTGCTGGTGGGAGGGCGGCAGTGCTTGGCTCCTCAGTCAAGCAGGTGGCATATGATAAAAATCAGATTATGACCCTTCCCTATTTAGCACTTGGCAGGACAGAACTTAGTTGGGTTTAGCAATCGACTCCTGTGTCTGTGCACAGAACTGACCATGGCCGCAGCAAGGCTGCTTGTGTCTCTGTGCACCCACTACTTCTACAATAAAGCAGCTGTGCCTACAGGTAAGGAAAGCAAGAGGATACTCAGAAAACTGAGGCTATCACATGAGTGGGATTAAGGCTGCCTTCTCACTAAGATGAGTCCCTTTGTTGCTCAGGGAAAACAGCATTGGAGCTAAGACAAGAAGCAAATGCTTCTTGATGCGTTTTCACAGCTTAGCATGAAGGGGAATAATAACCTCCATTTATTGACTTGCACACAGCCAAATGGGTTGAAGACAATTCCTAAAGCTCTGCCAGATTTATGGCGATTGACCCTTTCAGTCAGATGGAAATTTGGAGCGGTGAAGAGCTGATCAAAGAGGAAAGCTTGTTTTAAAGGGGGTGATGAAGCATGGAGTTTGTGCCTCATGAAAACCACACCAAAAAAAAACCCCAGGAAATAACAGTGATGCCCTGCAAAATGGAAGATAAATCAAGATGTCTTGCAAAGCAAGTGAGTATGTTTCTCCTATAGAAACTTACAGTTGCAGCAAGTGTTTTCTGTTCAGGTGGTGATAAAAAAAAAAAAAAGGGACATACAATACTGTGTCCAGCAGCAAAACAGTTGATCTGGGATAACATCTTCTAAAAAAGACCACAGAATGCCAGCCACCTTTCTGGTGCTTTCCCTGAGCTCCTTCTGCAGTTCACAATGGCAGTTCCTGTGGCAAGAAGTATTTGGGAGCAGCAAGCAAGGCAGAAGGGGCATTTCAGAAAGGTGTGGGCTGCACCACTCCTCCCACCAGCACCCTCCACTGACCAGAACCGGGTAACGCTGCAGGGCCTTTCCCTCTCCAGCTTGTCCTATTACACTTAACCCTCTGCCAAAGTAGTCTGCTAAATACTTCTAGCCTGCTACCAAACCCACAATACCACTACTTCACAGTTACAAAAACAAGACAATGCTTGCACGTAGCATTTAGCAGATGAATCATGTCAACCACTTTATAGGGAAAGCAGTATAGCTGCCCATGGCAGAAAGAGAAGGCCTTGCCCACCTTTTATGGCACGTACTATTGGGATGCAGAAGAACCAGAGTCAGCTGTAGTTGCCCTACTGGTCACTGCAGCAACACAACTGCTTGGTGTATTGGGGAAGGGAGCAGAGATCCCTCTTAACAGCTTTTTACCCACCTTTCCCATGCAGATA